GTGGTTTTGGCTAAACCTCTCTAAAAAGGTCAAATGTCACTTGTTTTGCATCAATCTTGATACAGGGTACTTATTATATGTTGTACTTTGGATTCCTAAAGCTTTTGGTCTACTAACCCATCATTCAAGGGTAGTTTTCACTATAAGTAAAAAATAATTTTTGGACGGACACTATAATTTACAGTTTTTTACTATGTAAAATCTGAATTTTCTTTAAAATAAAAAACATCTATATTGATTCTGACTTTTCTACATCCAACTCACAGGTTTATCATTACTTTGAGAAAAAATATTATTAATTTAACCCTTTTAGAAGCTGCACCTTTACCAGCTTTGATAACACTTTAATGATCAATAATTATAAAACATATCATATATATTATTCTGAAATGGAACAATCTGCACAATGACTACTTTGATGCTGATACTTTTGTACTTTTACTTGAGTAACATTTTGAATGCAGGACTTTTAATTCTAACAGAGTATTCCTACACTGGTACTTATTTTCTTTTTTTTACACGTATGCTTTTGTTGAGTTTTCACAACAATAATAACAGAACAACAAAACATAATACACACAAATCAGTTGTAAAATAAAGCACAATAAATACTAGTTGTCTGAAGACCTTCAATATTCACACATACCGTACAGGATTGAATTAGTCATTCACTTACTCATTGGTGTCAACCATGTAAATATTCCACTTTTCCCATTTCCTATTGAATGCATTCTCTTGGATTCTCAAAACATATGTCAGCTTTTCCATGACAAAAATATCTTGAACAATTTCCAGCCACTGCTCCTGAGTCGGAGCGTTCACATTAAGCCAATTTCTGGTTATAGCTTTCTTACTCGCTGCAAGTAAAACCTTAATCAAATATAGATCGCCTCCCATCACAACATCCTTAATGTTCCCAAGATACATCACCGGGCAGGTATTTGGGATTCCATAACCCAAAATAATTTTAACAACTGCATTAACCTTCTCCCAATATGACCTTATCTTTGTACAGTTCCAGAAAATGTGTGAGTGGTCAGCCTCCATGTTCCCACACAACCTCCAACACTGTTGCTGTACACCAAGTTGCCTGCTCTTTATTTTGGGTGTTATGAAAAAGCGAGTCAGGTTCTTCCAGCAGAATTCCCTCCATACTAATGAGTTTGTGAATGTAAATTGCGTCTCAAACATTTGAAACCATTCTTCCTCTGAAATTTTAATTTGTAACTCTACTTCCCATTTTGCTTTTATGTAGATAGTCGATTCCCCCCTGTTTCCCCCCAAAGCCTGGTAGAAAGCAGAAATGATCCGAGACCCCTTCTGCTGATATGCATCCACAATCACCCCAGTTACAGTATCTAAAGATTCATCTGCATTCAGCCTTATCTCTTTTACAAAATAGTGTCTTAACTGCATGTATCTAAAATAATCCCTGTCTGTAATACCATATTTTGCCTGTAATTCCTGAAAACCCATCAATTCACCCTTTTCTGAAACCGTACACATTGCTGTTATGCCCTTTTGCACCCATTCTTTGAATGCTGGATCGTACACCCCTGGTTTAAAATTGGAATCGTATGCAAACCACCTCAGCGTGTGTATCCCTCTCTTTAATTTGTATTTTGCTACTACAACATTCCAGACCTCTAGTGTAAACGCAACTACCGTATTAATTTCACCTCTCAGAAACTTCACAAAATTCCTATCTCCTACCAAGGCCTGAATGTGCTGACCCTGTACCTCCCTTTTCCATGGCTTTCCATCCAGACTCATAATCTGGTCTACACCAGTAGGCCAAAGGTCTGAGTTGGGCTGCATAGAAGTATTCCCTAAGATTTGGTAAAGCCAAAAAGGGGGGGGGGTGAAGAGCTCGACAAAAACACTCGTGAAAAGTGATGTTTAAAACTCAGTTAATGGGGCTCATTCACTGGCGCTTCCACAAACAACAACCAACATAATTGTTAGATTCAAATGAAGTAGCCTACATTATTCAAGTTTACATTAACTTTGGATAATAACACGGGAGAAATGAGCGGAAGCGCTCTCTTTTCCTCTCTACCCCTCTCTCTCTCTCCTGACAGCCTGTCAGTATCTCATGCAGCTCACTGATCCAGTAATGAGTGACAGTGAAGAATAAATATATTTATAACTAGTTCCAGAGGTAGATAAAATAGCTAAGTGTGTTAGGTCTAACTCTTGTGTGTTTTGCTCCGCTCACCGGTCCGTCACAGCGGGTGGAGCTGCAGGATTTCTGCTTCACACACGTTGCAAACCGCTATTTTATTGTCATTTTCGGACACCTTAAAATACTGCCAGACTGGTGAAGCGATTTTGGCGAGCTTGTTTTGCCGCACACAGAGAAAAGTGTCATGTATTTTACGTCTCACGATCGGCCTTTTTAGAGAGCACCGATCGATCAGCAGAGAGTGAGTATCGGCCGATATCGACCGCCACGCAAAAACTGCGGCATTTTTACAGCTCCTTATGGGTAATGCAATTTGTGAAGTGCTTTCCTCTGTGGTGAAATTATCAGCACTGCACCACGGAGGAAAGCAGCAGAAAGTCGCCTGGAGTTAAAGAGAGCGGGGCTGTATTGCGTGCATGGCTTCCTTCTGCAGGTAACGGGGAGACGCGCTCTGGCGGCGGTCTCGTTCAGGATCCGAAAATAACATTTAAATATTTTGCACACTTATTCCACTTATTCCTAGTGTGCCACTGGTTACGGTGCCGCATGCCATTGGTGGCACGTGTGCCAGGGGTTGCCGACCCCTGATATATAATATGAATCAGTTAGTCCCGGGAGGGATCCGCTCATACTCTTGTAGCCTCTTCCTTACTCTGCTCGCGGTCTCGTCCCCACCTGCACTACTCTCTCCGACGCGCTGCCATGTCTTGGTCTGGTGGAGACGCTCCATCTCCGGGTACAGCTCCAAAGCGTTGCGGTCTGGTATCTCCACGGAGAAACCTCTCCTCCTCAGCTCCTGCGCTGCATCTTGCGCACTGTCGTATGTGCATGTTCCCGAGTCCCAGTGAATGCGCATCCTGTCGAGAGGTGTCTGGAAACGTATATTTTTCTCTTTAAGGACCCTCTTTATTCCCACGTACGCCTTGCGCTTCAGGACGACCTCCGTTGCATAGTCGTGATCGAACGATAGACGTCGCCCTTCCATCAGTATCTTTTTTTCCCAGGCCTTTTTCAGTACCCTTTCTTTGGTGTTAAACTCCAGAAAGTTCACCACTATGGACCTTGGCGGTGCATTCCTTTCCGGTTTGCGAGCCACAGCTTTATGGGCGCGTTGTATCTGTAGGTTGGTGTCCGGTAAAGCGAGTTCAGTTTTCAAAAGTTGATCCACAAAGTCAGACATGGAGTTACCTTCCTTCTCTTCGGGTACTCCATAAATGCGCATATTATTTCTCCTGGATCGACCTTCCAAATCCACCAGTTTCCCCTGCATGGCTCTCTGTTCTTTCATTGATTTAATCAACGCATCTGACATAGCCATGTTTACTGTCTCCGCCTCATCGATTTGTTCCTCCGCTTCTTTCAGCCTAGTTTCGTGGGCCTGGGTTAGCAGAAAGTTTTTGGTACATTTCCTGCTTCATATTTTCGAGTTCAGATTTCATGTCTCCCTTGATTTCTTCTTTAAGTTTGTTTAAGTCCACTTTATGCTCAGCCCTGAAATCGCGTATTTCCTGGAGCACTGAGCGCATGGTGTCTGCCGAGTCCTGTTGTGAGCTAACGGAGCTAACGGAGCATCTTCCATCTCCGGTGAATTCTGTCTTTCTAGTTTGTCACCTTTCTTTTGACTTCTAGTTCTCTTTCCCCCTCTCATTCCAATAAAATTACATCGATTTGTATATTACTTGGCGAGTTATGGGGGTTGATTTCCAATCGCTATCGAGAGCTAAAAATTAAGCAGCCATCTCACTCGCCTTGCTCACCGGAAGTCCACTCTGGCACTTCTATATCACTCAAGTACAAGATCTGAGTACTGCTCCCACCTTACACGTAATTGGGCCTACAGAGCTTCGAGTTATGGCAGTCGCAAACTAGTCATTTCTCCCCCCCGCACACATAGAGAGAGATCGCTCTTATGCAGTGAAGAGAGCGAAAATAATGACATTGCAAATTGGTTGGACAAAATGTGCAAGATAACGTTTATGTCGAAATAATAAATATGAAATCAATTTTAAATATTTATTTTTAATTGCTCCAGTACCGATAACATGAGAGCTTATTGACACCACGATCTTTAAAAATGTAGCCCCGGGGCCCACTTAATACTGGGTTTAGTTACCAGTCCCTAGCCCAAACCGTGGCCGTTTCTCAATGTCGAGTAAACCTGCTGCAGAGCCACTATTTCAAGTATACTACGTCATCGAGTGGCGCCGAAGGACTGTTTAAATGCATGTTAAATGCCCAGCATTCGGCGCCACTCGATGACGTAGTATACTTGAAATAGTGGCTCTGCAGCAGGTATACTCGACATTGAGAAACGGCCCATGTTCCCGTTTGTGTATACTTCCTGTCTGTCTTCTTCTGCTGTTGCCTTTGGTGTTCACTTCCTGTCTGTTGTCTTCTTTTGTTCGCTTTAGTGTTTAAGTCCTGTTTGTCTTCTTCTGCTGTTCCCTTTAGCGTTCACTTCCTGTCTGTCTTCCTCTGCTGTTTAATTTAGTGTTTGCTTCCGGTTTGTCTTCTGCTGATTTCTCTGGCGTCCAGCTCTCTTTGTCTTGTAACCTGTTGACTTTTCTTTCGCTGTATTCTTGTTCTCTTTTTCTTTACCTTGCTGAGGACGGTTTAGCCAGCATAAATACAAGGTTTTGTGTTCTCCACAAATATAAAAAAATGAATATTCAAAAAGTATCCCAGTTTTGGCCACAACTGATGGTTAATTGATCTAAATGGACAAATTGACCATCAGAATCCAGTATTCAACTAAGCCGTCTAATATTTAAATACAATACGCAATGCTAAGATTCTGTGTGTATCTGTGTTCTAGGTGACGAGGGCGTTTTCCTTCACTAAGACCCCGAAGCGTGTGATCCAGAGGGCGTTCATGGCCAACAACACTCCTGATGAGAAAAGGCTGAGTTGTGAAAACCGCATCGGCAGCAGCGCCACTCTGGCTGTAAGTATTTCTGTTTCATGCACGATAAAATGCTCTCATGTCCAAGTTCTTAGTGATTGAAAGTCTTCTTTAATTTCCTTTTTCTTTTATGATCAACATCATAACACAATTATTAGAAGGTTTTAATCTATTAGAAGTCTCTTTCCGTATATCTGTTCCTAACTTCATTTCTACTCTTTCTATCTTTGCTGAGAAACCAGGCGATTGATCACTCGGTCAATCGATGATGAACCAGCTTTTAGTGAGTCTTGGTTGTTTTGATCCGGCTTAATAAAAAGAAGGAAAAAGGCTTGTGCGCTTAAGCATTTCAGGACTGTTATTTATTTGTTATTTTAGCAATTTACATACTTTTTTTCATACTTTTCTAAATACTGTAGGTTAACCTGTTAACCTGTTTAGCCCGAGAGACCCCGGTACCGTGGCCCTCCCACAACATCTTGCAGGAAACTGTGTCTGAGGGAATGTTCATTTAATAAACTATGAATGTTTTATATCCATGTAACGGGAAGAAACTCATCTAACTGATCATTTTTTTTCTTTTTTTCAAAAATAAAACCCACAATGCTAACGCTGAGCCTCTGAATTAGCAACGAGCGAAATATGCTAACGGATTACTGCACCTAAAATCACTCACAAAACCTTATTATTTATCTTTTCTGCACATCGATTCACATCGTGAGATGACACAGAATCGATGGGTACATACATTATCACTCTATGATACGAACTTGCGACTTTATAAACAAAAACAGACATCAAAACATGTGGCGCTAGGTAGCTAAAAACGCTAACATGGCTTACCTGTGTCGTAGTCTGGTCAAAAGTGGTCTTCAAAGGCATTAAAACGATAAAAACGCTGCTGAAGTTAATCCATAGGTTAATCCAATGTGTCTGTCACTTTGAAATGATTTCTGATAATCCATAAGGAATAAAACTGCTTTTCCGTTTCCAGATGTCAAACTGCATGCGCGAAGCCCCCACCTTTTTCTGTTACCGTGTGTGTGTGTGGGGAAATCCCCCTTCGATTCTATTGGCTCAACCATCAAAATCGACCAAGGGCGCCAGAGATATGGAAAATCCACCCAAATGACCCCAGAATTTCTTGCTAAATCTCTCTAAAAAGGTCAAATGTCACTTGTTTTGCATCAATCTTGATACAGGGTACTTATTATATGTTCTATATTCTATATTATAGTAAAAAATAATTTTTGGACGGACACTATAATTTACAGTTTTTTACTATGTTCAATCTGAATTTTCTTTAAAATAAAAAACATCTATATTGATTCTGACTTTTCTACCTGTGAGTTGGATGTAGAAAAGTCAGAATCAATATAGAATTTTTTTATTTTAAAGTAAATTCAGATTGAACATAGTAAAAAAAAATGTTAATTATAGTTTTCCAAAAAAAAAAAAACATTACTTGTAGTGAAAACCACCCTTGAATGATGGGATAGTAGACTAAAAGCTTTAGGAATCCAAAATATAACATATAAGTACCCTGTATCAAGATTGATGCAAAACAAGTGACATTTTTCCTTTTTTAGAGAGATTTAGAAGAAAGAAAAAACACTTCTGGGGTCATTTGGGTGCATTTTCCATATCTCTGGCCCCCCTCGGTCGATTTTGATGATTAACACCTCTTTTGAACCTTTAGAGCCAATAGAATCGAGGGGAAGTTCCTAAAATCCATCTAAACATTACCCATTGGTGAATGAGTGATGCGTAGCCAGAATGCCCAAAACCGGAAGCTGGGTTGTAGCTCTAATAGTGCTAATAACAGCTAATATGAAATCTCCGTTTTTGACAAAAATGGAATGATGGATTATCAGTAATCATTTCAAAGTGACACAGACACATTGGATTAACCTTCAGCATCGTTTTATGCGTTTTAATGCCATTGAACACAACTTTTGATCAGAAAACAGCAACGGTAAGACTTATTTTCCATTTTGGTCCCGTAAAGCTACGTTGTGTGATGTCTGGGTTTGTGCAGATCCGATAAGTAATAAAGTATTTCTACCGTGAGTTCTGTGCTAAGTGCGTTAGCATTTTTTCGCTTAGTGCTAATTCAAAGGCTTGGCGTTAGAGTTGTGTTTTGTTTAACAAAAAATGGTTCATATCGTCAGTTAGTTGAGTTTCTTCCCGTTAAGTGGGTATGACACATTAATAGGTTGTTAAATATTAAGAAGCCCTGAGACACAGTTTCACAGCGGGGGCTGCCGGGCTTAACAGGTTAAAAGTTGAGGAATATAAACATTTCTGCAATTTTCACAACATTAAAACACTACCTCCACTTTTTTATTACCTTGTTCCCAATGACGCACAAATGTAAATGCATTGTGTGTTTGGCCTTGTAGTTAGGATGCATTTCAAACAACATTGTCCTTAGATTGATTCTGGCAGGCAAGTTTATTGTATGTAAAAAAAAAAAAAACTATTGGTTATTACCAGCAACAATCGGGGGTGGCCAGGTGCATAAATGCAGGTCCATGGCTCATTTTTGGAATACTACATTAATTAGCATATTATGATTGCTGTGTCGAAAAACAAACATCATACATGATAGGCAGAGGTGTCCAATAAAATGCAGAGACGTGCAACAAAATCTCTGGCCTATTTGAGTTAAATAAGTTGCTAAATTAACTGATATTTGTCAAAATTGGTCTTTGAATTTAGCTTCAGTAAAACGGGAAGCGTTCTTTATTATTTTTCCCCTCTAGCACTTCCTTCATTACAAACAGAGTAGTTGAGTAGTTGAGTGACAGCTATAAATACTGCATCCAACCAAAAACCCTAAGGATTTACATTTTAGAACTTTCTTTAAAGTCTGTGTTTAACAATTTAACAGGGTAGGGCAGGTTTTGCATTTTCTTTTTAGAAATACATTATTGGCCCATCAAGATGTATTTCCATAATTACATTTCCCCCCCCTGCTCTGCTCAAACATAAAGCTTTACTTAATCTTTCTCTCCTTTGCCTCTTATTCCTTTTTTTAAAGCAGTCATTTCTGTCTTTTATTTCAAGGATATCCTTTCTCTTTGAATTGTAGCATGTATATTCTCTGCATGTCTCATGTGTAAATGCCTGCTCCATGTTTCTCCCTTCTGTCATGTGCTCTAGATGTGTCGCTCTACCTCCACGTTCAGTTTGAGCGATTCTGCCAAGAGCAGTGCAGTGGTGCAGCGCTCTAACTCCCTGGACCACCCTCCCGTCAGAGCCAGGGTCCCCGTCTGTATCCGTACCCCCTGCAGCCCAGCACATAGCCCCGTCCGTAACGCTGCCCCTGAGAGCAGCCAAAGTCCCAAGTTTTACCCGAGTAACAGAGAATCCAGGTCCATTCTCCATGCTCCATTATCCCAACCAGCACAAGCTCAGTCAGGCCGCTCCCCTTCCCGACAGTCTTCTTCAGTACGCCCAACCTCCGCTTCCATTCTAGCTGTCCCAAACTCCCGCCCAAAGTCTAGCCAGCTTGTGTCCAGACACCTCCCCTCCGTAGGGTTCCAGCCTAGGTTCCCAGCTCAGCAGCCCATTTATGTCAAAGGCAGGGAACCCCAAGCCCCCCTGGACCCATGCAAGGCTACCATGACCAGTCCTCGCAGGGAGACTCTGCTCTAAACCAGCGCTAAACCCAACTCTGGACTCTGATGTGAGCAAACATAATTCTGGTGTAGGGGTGCACCAATAAAACATTTTTAATTTAAAATTAATCATTTCTACCTGTATGTTGGCCTTTTTAACATCCAATCACCATAGGGTGCATACCCCGTCCCAAATCAACTCCTTAGAAGCTTAGACCCTATGAAGAAATGGATTAGATTAATAAGGGTCTAGATAAGAGGGGGTTAGAACGTGTTGTAGGGATTCTCCCCATTTGAGATCAGGTTCACAGGGCAGAGATTTTAAGGGTTGATTTGGAATATGGCTGCTCCTTGGAATCACACGGGTGACTAACGGTCGGTGGTGGCTGGGAATGTTCACTAAGTGGTTGCTATTAATATTGTGCTGTATTCAGAATGGTGTAAACGAGTTGGTGTAGAGCTGGGACATAAAGAGATTTCATACGGGTTGAGTCCTGTTTTCTTCAGGGGGAGGGAGGCCCCTTTAAAAGCATTCCATTATATATAACATATTTATTTTCCTGTGAGGTGTTTCTAGTCCTAGTACGTGCTGATACATGAACATTATGAAAGAATCTTTAATTCAGAGGTCTTTGTTAAATTCTAAGTCTTTATTATAGTAAGAACTTCAAGGACTACGACGGTAACTTCCATTTGAAGAAAATATCAAGGGTGAGAATCCAAATGTCAAGCCTTTGGTTTTGGATGCTTTGGCTAGTTTACTCAAAGACAGCTCGCTTGAATTGAAATGTCAGTCTTCATGGGAGACAGGCTGACCTCTCATCTGAGCTGGTGCTGACAGGTCATGCAGTATTTGTACCACCTTTAACTGCTTTTTGCAGATCTGGAACTAGAACCTAGTACGCTCTAACCTTTTCACCCCCAGATAGTTCCTGCTAGAGAGGTGGTACTTTCCTGGGGAGGAAATGGTTCGTGGGTGTGTCGGCCACACTAACAATTTCTGATTGGCTGGGCAAATTGCAAACCACGCCCCGTAAAACTCCAAAAAGTTTTGTGAAGCTGCCATTTTATTTGCTCGCATTATTAGCATTAGCATTAGCCCAGTGCACCAACGGAGAGAGACTAACTTATGGCAACACAAAAGAAAACATGTGAGCGGTGGAGTGATTAGGAGGTGTCGGCGCTTCTGGCGATTTACTCGGAAGATGCTACCCAGCAGCTTCTACTGAAGCCAGTCCCCAACTCCGGGGGACTCCGGGACTTCGGGTGGCAGTATACGCCGTGAAGTTGTTTGCGGCCTGCCAGTAAACCCAAAGCAGCAGAAGAAGAAGAAGTGACGTCAGCGGCTTCATTTGCGTAATCCTCCCTCGGGGACTTATTCCGGTGTGAACGCGATCTACAGGGACTAAAGAGTTCGGGGGGGGGAGGGAGACTAAGTACCGCAAAGTACTTGGTGTGAAAGCGGCTATAGGCTCCCTTGACAAAAAGCAATACATTCCGAATATCGAAGGAACCAAGCTCTGATACTAACACACGTTTAGAATAATGACATGTTTTGTTCGCAAGGTTATCCCCCGCACATTAACACTACCTCAATAATGATTGAAACAAAGGACAATCTTCCGAAGTAAATCGACAACTTTAGGCTATAAACGAACTACACAGTCACAACATCGCTAAGCTAAAGGTGGCTAATGTTTGGTGTGATGAAGTTTAGTTATCTAATTTATACACATTAAAATGAAATGTAACATTGAAGCTTCGGACATTCACCAGTGGGGTATTTACTGACATTTTATCTCGTAAAGCAAACAGGAAAGTATCTTAAGCTTGTGTAAATCACAGACCTTATTTCATGCATCTAACCAAAAACAGGTCCAAAAAATAAATAAATATGCATGAACTGTAATAAACAAGTGAATTAATAAAGGTCATCTTTTCAAACACTTGAAAGGTATTTGTAAGAAATGTTATTTATTCCTCACAGAGTGCAGCGGTTGTGGTTTTCATGGTGAAATATAGGTATTATCTTTAGCATCCTGCTATCAATCCGTATTCCTAGCATATATCGTATACCAGTGATACCACCACGTATCGTCGGGTCATGACCTTATATCACTGGAAGCGATGGCAATCTGTTGATGTTTGTGTTCGAGTGTGTGCCTTGACTGAATCCAAAATGTAGATGATTCATGCACACTGGCATAAATCAAGAGTTCATTAGAATGCACGCGTAGTTCAGGCAGGTAATGAGGGTCAGATATGTTTGCATTGTGATCAGGACTGCCCTCAACCTGGCCTTCCCCTCCAGTGAGAGCAGCGCCGTAATTTGTTCTCTCACTCCGCAATGTTTTTCTGAAGCGCTCTAGTACCACTTACTCACGTTTAATCTGAACCGCCATTCACCAGATATCTTCATCTGCTGACACAGAGGGAAAGAGAAACGGAGCCTCTGCCTACATGCTGGTAGCGCACCGCGTGTGTCGCCTAGTAGGAGGCTACTAAACTATAATTGTGTTGGCTAAAGTTGCCTTTCTTGATGAGTTCAGAGCCAATGTTTGGATTTGAAGGCGGAGAGTAGGAAGTAACAGCATTTTTCTTTGTGTGCTCAGCAATTCAAATTAGACTGGGGCACATGAACCAACCTTATCACACACACACACTCTGAACTAGATGGCTCACATGACAACCGATCTTGTTGCAAAGGCATTTTTAAAGTGTGCATTTCAAGGGAGTTGGGATGGTGGTAATTTCCTGTTTCAAATGGGAGAGCTGGTCCTCCTATGTTTTTTGGTATATTTTCTGTATGCTGTTACACAATTTTACCTGTAAAATAGTGTAATCAGTATCCTTATCTGAGTATGAAATGTAAGAGTAATGTAACCTGATTACTTTACGTTGCTTTTAGATAACCTAAATTAAAGGCAAGGATTTTATTGATAGAAAAGCTGCCTTTCATTCAGCATATTCAGGCAGCAGCCTACACACCAACACTGAAACACATGAGCACATACTACAGTTTAAAAAAGCAGAAATAAAATCTGAGCTGACAGAAAATGCTCTGTTTTAGTCACACACACTATTTTATGAACATATTAGGTTCACCTACTGAATTAAAAACAGAACAAATGAAGCAAAGAAAGTGAAAACCATAAAGCAGATTCAGGCAGTAGGCGTATAGATTCACTCTGAGTATTAGCCTACAGAACAGTACATGCTCTTTTTAGTTTTTTTCTCAAATTGTATTCCTGCTAGTAATCCCCAATTTTTAGAATTGTAACAGTCATCTGATCAACTGTTCCAGTTACAGTTTTTGGTATCATGATAATGTAATCCTGTGACATATAATCCATTACTCCCCAACCCTATGAGCAATATATTAATATTGTCATATGAGACCTAATATCACAAGTGTGTTTTCCTGGTTTTTATACCTGCATTACTTTAAAGTGATGTTATTGTCAGAATCAACCTGTCTTTTGTCTCAACCTAAGTCATTACATCCACAAGACGATGATGATTATTATTATCTTATTTCAAAAATATTTTGGAAAGCTCCAATAGTTGATGCTACAATATCAGGGTAATACCCATATTGTATTTGATCAAAAATATTGTGGTATTTTATTAACTTCATATCAGCCATACCCATTTTATAAGTAAAGGTCATCAAACTGAATTTAGTTTTCAAAGTACAATTTCAACGTACAGCCCTACTGCACACACAAATAGTACATTAGGGGGAGTGGGTAGGATGTTGGCAATGTACAGCATGGGGTATTAATGGCACTGTTTACCTTAGTTTTTAACACAAAAAAACTAACCTGTTTCTCGCTCTTTTACTGCTGATGTATTTTCCCTGATTGGACTTTGTTGATGTGTAGGAAGACAGAATACATGTCAATATCAGTGATCCTCTAACAACACATGTGGGTATTAACATGTTCTTCTCAACTGCCTCACACACACACTGTTATTTCTCTTACGTGTTCCTCTGTTTCATATTTACAGGCCCGCCATTCCCCCTCCATGGTCAACCTGCATTCCATGTTTGAGAGGAAGTACCACACCTTCAGCCGATCAACCACCCACCTCATCTGAGACACTGAGCACCAACAAGGGGCCACACACTCTTTTTTTTATTCACTTCCTTTGCCTTTGACTGCCACTAATAGACCTGTGCGAGTCTAACGTGGAAGCTATCTGTGAGATATGTCAAACTAGCATTTGTCCATACAAATAGCAACTCCTCCTAGACTCAAATCAGAGCAAAATGGAGTCCAAATTATCCAGCTACTGTTAAAGTGCTTCATAGCTTGGACGGAGAAGGGTTAGAACAATAGACCAATTGTTCATCAACCTGGAACGTACCATTCAGCTGGTAGAAATGTGCACCTTACAAGGCAGTTAGGTGCATCTTTCCAAACATGCACAACGCTGTCGCTAGCAGCTAACTGGAACGGTACGGCGCCATGCTACAGGCTTAATGTACTCTTAAATATGAAGGATGCTCTGCTTTTTATCTGTGTTTGTAATTGGATTACCTTGACACACCTACTTTTTTGTCTACATACTTCAACTGTCACATCTTCGGTTTATACGTCATCTGTTCAGCTTCCAGTTTAGTTACCTTTTTTGCAGTGTTAACACTAACTAAGGTATTTCTATTCAACAAATGCAGGTTGTTAAGCTCTTTGTGTGTTTTGTGGTCTATTTAGTTGCAAGTTAAATCTCTCTTTCCTTTTTTGTGTTGTTTTTTTAAATGACCTTACTCTGGATGAGTCCTTTATAATAACTGACATTTAATGTTGTTTTATCGTAGTGGGGTAGACTTGATTTCACCTGATTTATATTATTACTCGTGATTGTAATTAACCTGCCTTTTAACATTTAATCTTGAGATAGTTTCCAGCTTTTATAAAGCTTCTATTTTAACATTTAAGAGATTCAGTTGAGAGGAATTCAAGTTGTTAAGCGCTAGTTCTCTGAACAGCTGTCCATGTTTTTAAATATCTTTTAACAAAGTATCTGTGTGTATGTCTAAGGAGTGCTGCGTCAGTGTACATATTTATTTTTTGAAGACTTTTTTTGTTTATTTTATCACTTTCTATTTATGTTATTTTCTAATTGTATGTCTGTTTTTTCTCTTATGCTGTATTCAAGCTACAGCTGTCTCTGTTTGTGTAATCTTTGTATTAAATGCACTTAAAAATGTAAATTCAGGTATCCCTTATTTTTGTTTTACTTCTGTGTGTGTCTTTTATCACCAAACCAATATAGAAATATAAATTCCATAAATGTTTAAAGTGGACCTATCATGCTATATTTGAATAATATAGTGTAGGACCATACCTATATAAGGCATATTTATACTTTTTTTTTTTTTAAATACCAAACAGATCATGCATTTTAGCCATGCCTCATTTTGCTCAATTTGACAATTTCTGTCTCTGTTTTTGCAAGGGCTGATTCAGTGAGAACAGCACCATCTACAGGCCTGGCATATGTACTACAGCGTCTCCAGCGCTTTCGAACGGCAATGGCCATGGCTGTCTCCTCCTGATTGGTGGAGTTGGCCCAATAGCCGTAGCGCCACTGTCCTGACGTCAGGAGAGTGTTCAAATCTGGATCAGTTTTATCAGATCCGTTGCAGCCCCGTTTTTAGAGATTTGGGTATGGAGGAAAATAGAGAGGGTTGTGTTTTCTGACACTTGGTGAGTTCCCTGGAACACCGGGGACACATATTCATGTATAAAAGACGTACAAAAGTGCATTTTGCATGATAGGTCCCCTTTAAGTGATTTGGATTAATTACCAAGTCCAAGACATTAATATGATATAAATAGGGTTAATATGTATCGCTTATTACACGGATACATACTAAATAAACTGAAGCCTTCACAATATAGATTTAAAAATGATCAATTTGCGTGAGCTAGGAAAAAATTGTCCGCTCCACTGTGTACCAACGGCTTTCTTTTACGCTAACCAGTCTTTAAACTGAGGGTGTTTCTCAATCGCGAGTAAAGCTGCTTCAGAGCCATTATTTCAAGCATACTATGTCATCGAGTGCCGCCGAAGTACTGTTCCAATCTCCAGCATACTTGGAAATCTACTGAGCCCGGCGTACTCCGTTTGGAGAAATATCGAGGCTGCACATGAGTAGACTCTGCGGTCTTAAAATCCCCACAATGCTTTGCGCACGGACCAATTTCCCCAAATCTGTGGCGGAAAATGTAAGGCGGGGCCTCTCATATGACACACACCTGCACACTTGCTAGCGTGTTCCACACTTCGTTTTCTGAATGCCAGGAAGTATTCTTGACTCGCTTCTGAAGCAAGATGCTCGGCAGACATGTGCTACCAAGCAAGTGTACTCGCGATTGAGAAACACCCAGTGTCCATACCGTGTTCCCATCAATGTTTCCTTCCTGTCTGTCTTCTTCTGCTGTTCGCTTTAGCATTTACCTCCTGTCTGACTTTTTCTGTTGATTTCTCTGATGGTCATTGGTTTTAACGTCTTTTCTTTTCTGGGGACATTTTACCAATCGTTAATCCAAAGTTTTGTTCTCTCTACAAATATTAAAAAAATAAATATTAGTATCAAAAAGTATTGCATGGTGTTATCTGATTGGGAAAACTAATGTTTTTGTCCATAGCTTACATTTAACTTACCGGACTTCTTTCTGCGGATTGATATGAGTACAAATAGTCCCTTGATCCTCCTTAGCAACGGTCTGCTATCAAGAATTTACAAACTCTGCCATGTCCAAATCGAAGAATCGGAATCGAGTATTCGACTCAAGTCGTCTATTTATTCTGTGTATAGATTATTAACCCATGGTAGGTTAATACGCACGTTTATATATTAGCTTGCAAAGTTAGACAATAAATACCCACCCAAGGGATTCTGTTGACACCCATCTTGTAAAAGCTGATCTTGCCACAATGACCCATATTACAATATTTGATGTTATTGATAATAAACCACTAAAGCTGCTTCAGCGGAGCTTGACATTTTTGATATGTCAAATAGTCTTGAAACTTTCACTTGAGTTTGGGCTCTTTAAAGGCTTGTTTGGGATTGGCATACAACTTTGAAGCGAGCTAATGGTTGCTCCTCTGTTCTTCTTGCTCATTTCATGTAGTGGTTGGTTCTGAACTTTCTGGATCCCAAGACCAACAGCACATTTTCCCAGTTTCCCTTCCACTCAAAAAACTACTGATTTGTATTAACTTTTAAACCAACAGTGTCCTTTTGGTATTCAAAAAATGTTTCAGTCCACTGAAAATACTGAAACATGGACAAGCAGTTGAAAGATGATGTATTTAAGTACCTGTCTAACCTTTTAACAATGAGACCAGGGCGCATTTATCTTAAAAAGGTGTCAATCATTGCTTAAAGGGGCTGTATTATGCTTTGTAGGCTTTTTCCTTTCACTTTGTAACACTTGCTCTATTGGCTAGCGCTCCAACACCTTATACGTGCCAGGGGCAGGACATTTCTAAGCGGTTGACCAATCACAACAGCCGGCCAGCTAACCAATCGGCAGACTGGGGCTGCAGTCGAATGGTCCAAAAATCAGCTCCTAAGTTCTAACCCTATCGTCTATTCCTTGACCTCTGAGTGAAACGTCACGGGGTTAAGGGATAGTGGATAGGAGAATTCAAAAGGATTTAGGAGAAGAGACTGCGGTACTTTAGAGAATCCGACTGCACTTTCACTATCCGACGTGTTTATGATGCGCCAGCGGAGGTCATAAATGTGCGCCTGCTGCTGTGGGGAAACTACAGTTTTCTATACAGCGGACTACAACATGGATGTTTAATAAGAACGAGGGACTACTGTAAACTCATCTAGAGACTCTGCACCGTGCTCTGATGCTGTTGTTTTATGCTTTATGAACGGGGACAACAGAGAAACATATTCTTCATGACCAAAGTTGGAATTGAAATAAAAAAGGAAAGTGAAACTTATGCTCGTCACCCTCTCCCTCCGGTCCACATTAATACAAATGATCCCAATACGTATTATTGTATGAAAAGATCTTAAAATCAATACAAATGTATTTATTGTAAACGTTAGTCCTTAACATCTATCACTGTGTATATCACCATTCAAACATCTTTTAAAAGTTGAACAAACCCCACACAGCTCAGTAAAGACTGTGAAATGTTGACTTTATTTGATCATTTCAGTAAAAACTAACGTTCATATTTCTCTTTTTGATTATAATACTGATGAACGTTCAAAACAAAGCACTTTGGCAACTTACCACATACGTTTTAAAAAGCTTAATAAGCACCGTAACTTTCATGATATCATTTCTCGGTCATAATCGGTTGTTTCCGTGAACGGCCGACTGTTGTGTGACGGCAAATGCTGCGGCTGCAAGGCATTGTGGGGCAGCATTTTCTCCTCTCCTTTCGGTTAGGGAGGTCCAGTGGTTCCTAAGCTAAAGGAGGTTATAAAGGAAGTTTGAAACCTCCTTTCCTATCATCTCGAGAATTCGAACGGCACTTATCATGGCTGCCACTGAGGGACTTCCGGGTCATTTCACTCCGTTAGGAAGGTTCCTAAGCTAAATGGACTATTCGACTTCAGCCTGGGCTCTGGTCTCAGACAGAGGTTGAAAAGAGGTAGTACCGGCAGTAAGAGAAAAATAAAGCCACCTTACAAAAACAGCTTATGTGTGCAGAACAGAATATTATCACCACTTCAAATTTCCTTTACTTTGGTACCAGCTTTTCGCAATTGTGAAACTTCTTTATTCCAAATATCCATAGTTTTTTTGCAACAGATCTGCTGTTTGGGTGTGGTCGTCCTATTGTTTAGATCAGACAGAAGTTAACTGATATTATTTTAAGAAGGGCATTTGTTTTTGGTGGCTAGAAAAACTATTTTTAGCCCACATCAGTACATCACATAGTTTCCAGTGCTCCTGTGTGCTTCTTCGTATGCCTACCAACATGTACTCTCTGTAAAACCCGGCTATAGTCTTATGCCCCTCATCACATGTCTGTCTGCAATTGAGGAGTGGATGTCAAGCAACTTCCTACAGCTTAATGCATCAAAAACGGAAGTCTTGATCTTAGCGGCTGATAACATCGCCTCTAAGGTAGCAAGCCACCTGGGTTCATTCAGTGGTAACATAAGGGCAAACATAAAAAACCTTGGTGTAACTTTCGATCAGTCTATGCTACTAGACAAACACATAAAACTTCTGACCCGTACGTGCTTTTTCCATCTCAGGAACATTGCCAAGCTCAGGGGGGTTCTATCAAATGCAGAAATGGAGATGGCTATCCATGCCTTTATTTCATCCCGGCTTGATTATTGTAATGCTCTGTTCTCCTGCCTCAATAAAACATCAATAAACCGGTTACAACAGGTCCAAAATGCTGCAGCCAGATTACTCACTCGGTCCAAAAAAACATGCCACATCACTCCGATCCTTTCTGCCCTGCACTGGCTCCCTGTCCATCTCAGAACCCAATTTAAGGTATTGGTTTTCACATATAGAGCTGTCCATGGCCAAGCCCCATCCTACATCAATGACCTGATCCACCCTCACAGCACAACCCGGGCCCTGAGGTCCTCTGAGCAAGGCCTCCTAAGGGTGCCCCGAACCAGGCTAAAAACTAAGGGGGGCCGTGCCTTTGAGGTGGTGGCCCCAAGGTTTTGGAACAAACTCCCCCAGATAATAAAAACCTCTGCCTCAATAGAGATTTTTAAGGGGCAGTTAAAGACTCACCTTTTCCGACAGGCCTTTGGGTCGTCGGAGGAGGTGAGTTAGTGGCTGTCTTTTATTGGTGTTTTATCGTATGTTTTATCCTATGTATTACCTGCTGCTGTTTTATGCCTTTTATTCTACATGTTATAGTTGTACTTTGAATTGTGTCCTGTGTACTGTACTGTAAAGCACTTTGTACATCCGTGTTGAGAAGGGTGCTATATAAATAAAGTTTTACTTACTTACTTACTTATGCAACCTCACTTCAAAAGACCCAGACTATCCCTTTAAACTAGCATACTTTATCTCCACTGGCTTTAAAAAGAAGCCCGATTGTAGAGAAGTCTATGAGAAAATGTCTCACTTGATTTAGTTAACATTTCCCTAACAAGTTTATGTTCTCTGTTCTACTACGGCTTTGTCCAATTTGGATTTTCTCTGAAATGGTTTGATGTCCAAAAACCCCCCAGAGTGTGGTTTTAGG